TGTGTTGATTCATGGCTTAGGCTTCCTAGGCCAGGCTCGAGGCCGTGAAGGTGGGCAATGGGTCTGTCTTAGTCCTGGCGGGGTCACCAGTACCCAGCCCTGGGCATGCAGTGGATCCTAACTAGAGGATTGTTGAATGACTAATCGATCACTGAATGCAAATCGAGGCGCAGGTTAATGCGGGCGGGAAATGATGTTGCAAAGCTGCCCAGGCCCTGTTTGTTGGGAGGCCCTGGAGGTGGGGGTGGGGAGACCCCTCCCGGCCCTCCCCCATCCCACCGGGGCTGAGCACACCGCAACCCCGTATCGAGTCCCCACAGCCAAATCGATTCCCGCAAAATGCTCTAGGTAAGTTTCGCCAAACCAGGATGGGTCACGGGCCTACACATGTGGTTGACAAACGTGCAGTTCTGGGCACGGATGCCATCTGACATTCTCCTTTACGGGAACAAGCCAGACTACCGAGAAACAAGGAGAATGAGAACTGCGCTCATCAGCAACGAGAGCGACGTCGGGGCCGAGCCCGACGGCAGGTGTCCGGGGGCGGGAGAGCGTCTCCTCCATGCTCTTGCGCTTTTCACAAGGAAACCGCTGTGGACCCGACACACTGTTGAGTTTAATTCTCATCACTGGCATTCTCTTCATCACTTTCTTGAGATCTACCAGGAGTTGGCGAACCCTGGCCCACTGCCCGTTTTTGTAAATAAAGTCAATCGATGGCTGCTTCCGCGCATAACGGCAGCCTTGGGGACACGGGACGGAGACCTGTATGGCTTGCAGAGCTGAAAATATTTATTCTCGGGCCCTTCATAGAAAAAGTTTGCCAACCCCTGGTCTAGACAATCAACAGAACAATAAATCAAACCCCGATGTGTAGTAGTTGCCAATTTCCACGGTGTACGTGCTCCCACCATGGCCAATTTCAAGCTTCCAACCTGATGTCAGTGAAGGTGGAGCTGGGAAGAGCTGCTCACCATTTCCGCCAACCGCATCCAATAGATGAAAATGACCTCAAGAGTACAGATCTTAGTCAAATACGGTAGAATAATTAGGAAGTTACAATTTTTGACTATTTATGACCTTTGCTTTTTTATGAGATTTATCAACATATGACTCACACACCAGAAAATTTGTCCTTTTAAAGTGTACAACTCAGTGGTTTTTATATATTCACAGAGTTGTGCGACTATTGCCATTATCACCCCTAAAAGCAACCCTGTCCCCATCAGCAGTCCCCTCCCCCAGGCCCCGGCCCCCACGAGCCTCCTTCCCGTCCGTGGAAGAGCCTAGTCTGTGCGCGTCACCCACGTGGACGCACACCCCGTGTGGCCTTCTGTGTCTGGTTCCCTCCCTGAGCGTCGTGGGCTCGGGGTCCGTCCGCGGGGCCGCGCATGTCAACGATTCACTCCTTTTTATGGCCAAATAATATTCTATACCCTAGTTTTAAATATAATGTAAGCTCCTCATAGTCTGTCATTTTTAAATAATGGCTGTGTTTAACAACCTAGCCGTGAAAATTCCTGACAAGACAGCCTGGGGCTCTCATGAGCTGGGCTGAGCCGGTGACAGCAGGCCCCGGGTCCCCGGGCAGCCCGTCCCCACCGCATGAATTCTTCATGTCCCACACAAAAGGTGTCAATAATTGATGGACCAGCGCAGCAGGGACGGGCCAGCCACTCCATCTCACCTCTCTGAGCCCTGGCTGTAGTGGCCCAGGGTGGCCTCAGGGGCCCCAGGCCTCCGCCCACAGCAGCAAATGCCCCCTCTGTCCTTTTTCCCCACAAAAGACCCTCTGCCAACAGCAGGGACCCCACGGCGTCAGGTTTTTAATCAGCCACCGCTCGGACCTCACAGTCGGTGCCCAATTTGGATATGGCAAAAGGACTGCTGTTGGAGGGGCTTGGGGGCCTCAGTGGTTCTCAAACGGGGTTCCCCAGAGCCGGAGCCAGGTCTGGCCACCTGCCGAGCATCAGGGGGAGCTGGGACCCTGCCAACTACGGTCAGACTCCCACTGAAGCAGAGCTTGGGCGCCAAGCAGGAATGTTGGGAGAGCACAGCCCACCCCCTACAGAAAAGACCAGGCCAGGCTGAGGCCAAGCGAAAGATGTTCGAGGCTTCGAACGAGGGTCTTGTGGCAGCAATGTGGATGCAGCCTCTAGGTGAGTCCCAGCTCCGCACACCTCTCCCCTCTCCACTGCCTGAGTCCTAGCTCCCTGAGCCCTGAGCCCTCCTTCCGGGCTCGGGCTCTCACACTTCCTCATCGTCCTCCCCAAAGAGGCCACCAGAGGGCGGCGGTGAGCACCGGAGTCAGGAATCTGCCCACAGCCCTCCACTGCTCGCCTTTCTGGGGTAAAAGCCCAAATTCTTCCCATTGCCCACAGGACCATGTATGACCTACTCCCACCCCCATCCCCTCACTCTCTTCCCTCACTCACTCTGTTCCAGTCACATGGGTCTCCTCACTGTTCCTCTGAAACTCCAGGCCCGGGCCTGCCCCAGGGCCTTTGCATGGGCTGTGTCGTCTGACTGGAATGCCCTTCCCCTCAGGTCTCCACATTGCTGTTTTTTTTTTCTTGTCATTCAGGCCTCAGCTCAAATGTCACCTCCTCAGGAGCCCCTCCCAGGTCCCCCATCTAAACTAACTTCCACATCCATCTGTTTCTCCATCATCTTCATGCAGTTACAATTAAGCATAATGATATTTCTGAATGATCACCTGTGTTTCCCAAGTCCAACCTGTGAGCCAAGTGAGGGAGGGCACCAGCTTGGCCTTGGTCAGTGCTGTGTCGGAGGTGCCCTGCACCAGGCTTTGGTTTACGGTAGGGCCTCAGAACCTGTTGAGTGAATAAATGACCTCCCAGCACCAGAGGGGCATGGAGTCTGAGAGCTCATCCAAAGGCCCCACTGTCCAGCCAGGGAAACTGAGGCCCAGAGAGAGATAGAGACAGCCCAAGGCCATGTAGTAGTGCCACGCGAGCTCCTCCGGAGTGGGGGCTCCCCCAGATAAATGCTCCCCAACTTCCACTACCCCATTGGACAGAAGTGGATGTTGAAGCCTGGAGAACAAAGTCTTGGAGGATCCCAAGGACTCAGCCAGAGGAGCTTCCAGGAAAGCTCAGGTGGGGGAGCCCAGGGAGTTATGTCGTGGTGGGGGGGTGGGGGTGAGGGGTGCCCAGGGGAGGGGCACATGCTGTGTACCTGGCCCAGGCCTGCCCATCTCCAGGACCCCCCTCCCCTGCCTCTACATTTCTAACACATGGGGCTGTGGACACCCACCCCCTCTATGTCTCTAACACCTGGGGCTGTGGACACCCACCTTAGGTCTCTAACATTAGGGGTTGTGGGACCCCCCACACACACACACACGTCTCTAACACCTGGGGCTGTGGACACCCCCCCTCCCCATGTCCCTAACACCTGAGGCTGTACCAGGACAAGCCTCAGCCATTATTCAGCATCTGCCTCTGGGCAGGGACATTTCCGCCACAACAGCTGGAGCTTTGTCCTCAGGCACCCTCTCCTGGCCCCATTTGACAGACAGGGACACTGAAGCCTCTTAAACCCACCACATCAGATCACCAAGCAACTGAAAGTCCCCTGTCCTACCCAGGCCTCAGATGGGAAACAGGTTCAAGAGCATCTGACCTGCCCAAGACCACACAGCAGGACGGGACACCATAGGCCTCCCAAACTGCACCTGTCTGACTCATCTATTTGCTTAGGGACCTCCCACCCTCATCAGAGAGGGGCTCAAGCCCCCCACCAGCAGCCCCCCCCCAGTAGTCTGGGCACTCACCTACTACCAGCTTCCCAGGCCACCAGGCCTGCAAGGGATAGAAGCACAGCCCAGGTGTTTGTGTGGCTGGGGTGACAACTCTTTGTTCTGGTTTCCATAGGTACAGCGTCCCTGGGCCAGCCTCTCTCTGCTCCTCCCAGCTGCCCAGCCCTTGCCTGGCAGTCCCTTGGCCCAGCCCATCTAGGCAACTTGTTATGTTTCAAAGTCGTTGCCCATGGACCTGGCATGGCAGCTGAAGGAAGAGCCCATGCAGAGGACCCTGGGGCAGGACCATGTCTGGCGTGTTGGAGGGCTGGTATGGCTGGAGCAGAGTGAATGAAGGGGAGAGAGGGAGGGCCCGGAGGAGACATGCAAGGCCCACATTCCTGCATTTAACCTGGAAGCAGCCCTCTCCCCCAGGGAGTTCTGTCCCTTCCCATTCTACAGACAGGAAACTGAGGCTCAGAGAATCCAATCACTTGTTTTGGGTAGCATGGTGAGTGGCAGAACGGGAGCCAAACGGTCTGAACTCCACAACCACTAGCCTGAACTGCCCTCACTCAGCTGTGGCCCCCCCAGGGCATTCAACTCCCCCCGCGGGAAGGAAGCAACCTTGGAGGTCTGTTTACAGCTGGGGCTGCCCCTCCTCAGGGAGCCCCCCAGGATAGAGGAGGTGGCGATGCACACAGATCTAGGTCAGGTCACCTGCCAATTACCTAGGCAGCTACAGTCCCAATTCATAGCTGACAAAACTGAGGCCAAGGCTTCAGGCCACTGGGGAGCTCCCAGGTGGCCAGTCTGGGTGGGACTGGCCATGGCTCTTCCTGCCGCCTGGACTAACCAGAAGCCACACACATTCCCATCACCACACCTTTGGCCAGGCTGCCCACCACCTGGAATGCCCTCCCAACTTTGGAATCTGGGAATCCGGCCCTAGCACCTGGCACCCTGCTCGGTGAAAGGGGCAGAGTCCATCCGAGTCCCCATGGGGGTGGGGGGACGCTGGTCCCAGAGCACAACCCCAAGCTTGGGAGGGCAGTTCAGACCCAATCTGTCTTCCCCTAACCCATCCAGCAGGAGAGTGACGGGGACACAGAGGGAAAGGGAGAAACAGAGGGACACTCAGGGAGAAATACGGACAGGCATGGGGGCGAGAGAGACAGGGCGTCCAGGTGGCCCCCAAGGTGCGCTGAGAAGCGGAGGCGCCCGGGCATCGCTCCCTCACCTGCTCTCCGGGGCCTGTCCGTCGGTTCGAGCGTCGGGACTCCGTACAGCCGTCTCCGAGGAGCAGTTGCGGCTTACGCGGGACTCGCGCGGGAGGACTGAGACGGGACTGGACGGGACGGGGCGGGGCGGGAAGTTCGGCCCCGCCCTCCAAAAGCCCCGCCCCCGATGCGGCCCCGCCCCGCCCCCGCCCGCGCGGAAAGGACCCAAGAGGGGCGGAGGGGGTGGGGTGGGCCGAAGGCGTGAAATTAGCCAATGGCAGTGCGGGCGGCGTACGAAGAGGCCAATGAAAGCAAGTTATCTGGAGGGGGCGGGGTCTGGGGCGGGGCCAAACTGCTCCGAGAGATTCCTCCGGAATCGTGAAACGCGCCGGATGCGGTGTTGGGGGGCGGGGGGGGGGGGGGCGTGAGCCAAAGAAAGGAGAGGAAGGAGATCCAGAGTCAAAAACTGAGACCCGGTGAGGAGGGGGGCAGGGAGAAAGAGACTGACAGAGCCCAGAAGAAAACAGATCAACTCTGGCCCTGGGCAAGCCCCTTCCTCCCTCGGGGACTCACTTTACCCACCTGGGTGACAGGAATTGGTGCCGAAGCATGTTTCTTAAAGTACAGCCCCTAGGAACCCTTTATATTAGAATCACCTGAGAGCCCCTTAAAAGATGCAGAGTCCTGTAGCCCCAAATGGGCTGAATCTGACGCAAGGTTGAAGATGAATCTCCCCGGGCTCAGGTAAATTCTCAGGTGAGGTTTGAGGCAGTCGCTGGGTAGCACGGACCCTGGAAACCCCACCAGGGGACTCCCAGATCCAGCCTCGATTTCCGTGGGAAGGAGGCGGCAGAACACGCAGGAGCCTCCTGGCCGCCAGCGGGTGAGCTGGCTGGGCCAGCTGGGGCCCCCCTAGGAGGATGCAGCTGTGAGTCCTGGGAACTGGGCCCAGGAGCGGCTCCCAGCTCCCCTGCTGCTCAGTTTCCTCCCTGCAGCCCAGCTCTGGGTCCCAGTTTTAGCTAGGGCCAAGGGAGGCCAGAGCAGACCAGACAAGCGTTTGTGGAGTTCCTGCTGTATGCGCACGGGACGCACACAGCCCCAGCACAGGGTTCTGCTCCCGAGGCAAAAATAAATGAAATGTCTCTTTATCCCATTTCGGAGAGGGAAACTGAGGCCCAAAGATGGGGCAGTGACTTGGCTGAGGACACACAGACATAGGTGGCAGGGCCAGGATTCAGACCAAGGAGTGGTTTGCCCTCAGCCAGGTCCTATCCTCCCCTAGCCCAGGGCTGCTCATCCTCTGCACGATTGGCAACCAGGTGCTGCACTCCTGCTGTGGGGGGCAACCTGGGCCCTGGGGGGTGTTGAGCAGCATCCCTGGCCCCCACCCACTGGATGCGAGCAGCTCCTCCCCTCCAGGTCCCAACAATTAAAAATGTCTCTAATCATTGCCAAGTGTCCCCTAGGGGGCAGAATCACCCCGTTGAGACCCACTGCTAGAGATCCATCTCTTCATGGCTCCGTCCCAAATTGTGAGGACCCCTTCTTTGGGTCAGGGTAGCTAATGGAGCAAACTGTTTTTAGCATCTCATCAAACCACAGCAAACTCTTTCTGTGGGCACAGGGTGGGCGTGGGTAGAGTGATCCAGGTGGATTCAAACCCAGCTTTTTCCTGATCTCCATCATGTGTTCACCTCTCAGAGCCTCAGTGGTCTGAATCTGTGCCATGGGAATAGGAAGGTCCCCACAGAGGACAAATAAAAAGTGCCCACAGGGATGCGAAGAAATGAGACCGCTTGTACATTGTCGGTGGGATCTTAAAAAGCTGCAGCCACTGTGGAAAAGTTTGCTGGGTCCTCAGAGAAATTACCCTGTGACCCGGCAATCCCCCTCCTAGGTATAAACCCGAAGAGGTTGAAAGCAGGGACTTGGACAGATATTTGCACAATGTCCATATCAGTGTTACCCGCAGCAGCCAAAAGTGGGGAAGAACCAGAATGTCCATCGACAGATGAACAGATAAACAAAACGTGGTCCATCCAGACACTGGAATATTATTCAGCCATAAAAGGAAGGAAGTTTTGATTCATGCCACCTGGGTGAACCTTGAAAACATAAGCTTAAGATGCCAGTCATAAGAGGACAAGTATTGTCTGATTCCACTTTCTTGAGGGGAATCCATAGAGAAGAAAGTGAAAGAGAGGTGACCAGGGGCCCGGGGAGAGGAGAATGGTTAGTTAGTGCTTAATGCAGACAGAGTTGTATTGATGATGGAGAATTTCTGGAGATGGATGGTGAGGGTGGTTGCAACAATGTTAGTGTGCTTAATGCCCCCTGAATTGTACACTTAAAAATGGTTATGATGTTATATATTTACCATAATTTTAGAAAATGGATAATGTAATATACCAAAATCACTGAATTGTATAAGTGGGTGAATTTGTGGTGTATGAATTATACATGTTTTTTATAAAGCTGGGTTTATTTTATTTTATTTTTAATTTTCTTTTTTTTTAAAGTAGGCTCCATGCCCAGCACAGAACCCAGTACGGGCGAACTCACGACCCTGAGATCGAGACCTGAGCTGAGACCAAGAGTCTGATGCTTAACCGACTGAGCCACCCAGGCGCCCCTTGAAATTTTTAAAAAAGATTTTATTTTTTTAAAATGTTTTATTTATTTATTCATGAGAGTCAGAGAGAGAGAGGCAGAGGGAGAAACAGGCTCCCCACTGAGCAGGGAGCCGGATGTGGGGCTCGATTCCAGGACCCTGGGATCATGACCTGAGCTGAAGGTAGATGCTTAACCATCTGAGCCACTCAGGCACCCCTAAAAAAGATTTTATTTTTAAGTAATCTCTACACTCAAAGTGCGACTCAAACTCACAACCCCGAGATCAAGAGTTGCACACCCTACCCACTGAGCCAGCCAGGCACCCCTAAAGCTACTTTTTTTCAAGTGCCCAGCAGCACACCTGGTTATAACATTATTAGAGCTGGTTTTTATTGATCAGTTTTTTAAAAAAGATTTTATTTATTCATTTGAGAGAGAGAGAGGAAGAGAGACAGAGAAGATGAGCAGGGGGAGGGGCAGAGGGAGGGACAGAGGGAGAGGGGAAGCAGACTGACTCCCCATCAAGCAGGGAGCCCCACTTGGGGCTCCACCTCAGGACCCCAAGATCATGACCTGAACCGAAGTCAGACGGCTTAACTGACTGAGCCACCCAGATGCCCCCACTGAGCACTTCTTATGTGCCAGTCACCGCTGGCACTTTACCTAGATTAACTCACCAAAACCTCAAAGCAACCCTGCTATACAAGAGTCCCATTTCACAGATGATGAAATTGAGGCTCAGAGGAAGCAAGTGACCTGTCCCGGGTCGTGGCAGAAGTGGGATCAGAACCTGGGGCAGTCTCAATTGTCTGTAATGTGTACAGCTCCTCTGGGTGGCCCCAACATCCCTGAGGTCTCCCCAGCCGGGCAGGGGGCTGAACAGTAAAGAATAGACCAGGGGCTCTATCTGGGGTCAGGGACTCAACTCGGAATTGGGGCTCAGCCCGGGATAAAGGGCTACATCCAGGGCTGGGGGCTCAGCCGGTGTCGGAGCTCGGCCTGGAGCTCGGGGCTTCAGCGGGAGTGGGGGCTCAGCGGGGATGAGGGCTCCGTCCCGAGCCGGGTCTTGGTTGCGCGGATTCCGGCCGTGCCCGGCAGGGGGCGTGTTCTGCGCGCAGCCCGGGCCGCCGCGCCTTTTCTTTCCCGGGAATGGGTGGCCGGGGCGCCCCGCGAGACATCTGCGTGCAAGGGCAGGGTCCCCAGGTCCAAGTCACCCTAGACGCATCCCAGCATCACCTGCACCCCGAGATCAGGCCTCACACCCCGCTGGGCTGTGTGACCCGGAACAAGCGACCCACTCCTCTGCGCGTCTGTCTTGCGTCTGCGCAATGGGACCACGGTGGTGGGGCTCGGGGGTTGGAGTGAGGGGAGCCTGTGCTCCTAGAGCCTCCGGGAGGCCCTCCTCGCCCCCCCTGGCGGCTACCCACCAACTCCGGGCGCCTTGGGAGACCAGACACGGGGCGGGGGGGCAGAACGCCCCTCCCACGCTCCAAGCCCAGGCTAGCTCCCACGTGCCGCGATCCATCCGTGCCCCCAGCCCGTCGGCCTAGCGCCTCGCCCGGCCCGACCCCTCCCACGGGGGTGCGCAGGCCCAGGAGGGCACGGGAGGAGGGGGCGAACCTTGCGGGTGCCCACACCGCGGCCCAGGCCTGGAGGTCTCAGGGACCCTTCCCGACGGCACTGAGCGTGGGGGGCAGCCTTCATCCCAGGTCACGGGCTCAGCCTAGGGTCAGGGTCACGGGGCCCGCTAACCCGGCGGCAGAAGGAAGGTGGGGCGGGAAGGTGCTACGGCAATTTCAGTCCCCGGCCCGCGCCGCCCCCGCGGCAGCCGCGGAGCGGCGGAGCGCCTGGGCCGCAGCCGAGGCCCGATTTACAAGTGGCAGCCGCGCAGCCGCCGCGGGTGGGAGGCGCGCGGGTGCGGAGACCAACGCTAGTGCAGGCAGGTGCGCGCGGTCCCGAACGGGGTGGCCTGAGCCGCTGCTGCCTCTGCGGGTCGTGCGCCTCTGTCATTCCTGGCGGGAGGAAACTTCAGCCCTCGGAGCCTCGGGGGCTTCATCTGGAAGATGGGTGCAGTGGCAGCATCAGATTCAGAGTTTTGTAAAACTCGGAGGACACACCGTGGCTGCTCAGCAGAGCCCCGGCGCACGTGCGTAGCCTGACCGCCTCCGCCAGAGGCCAGGCAGCAGCGACTCGACCCGGCTGTGATGGGGAACACACAGGCGGCTGTGGGAGCCCACACTTGTCACCTGACCCCGGTGGGGATCCGGGGAGGCTTCCAGGGGGAGGTGACAACTGAGCTGAGAAAGAGCAGGAGCTCGTCATGGGAAGAGGAGGGAAGGAGGGCCCTTTTTATTCTTGGCTTGCCGACTGTGGGCAAATCATAGGTCCTCTCTGAGCCTCTGTTTCCTCGTCTGTGAGTCACAGCCATGATATCCATCTTTTGGGGCAGTTGCAGAGATTGGCAGAGAGGATGCAGGGAAGTGCTTAAC